TTATTAATATTATTATTGTTGTTGTTGTTTCTATTGTCATATCCGTTCGAGGGCAGTAAGGAGAGGCACGAGTTTCTTTTAATGTAAATCATGTCCTGTGTTTCCTCTTTGTGAACCTTTTTTCTTTCTTTGTATCTCGTTCTGCGACGCCATGGCCATTCGTAAATCAGAACATTCCAAAGCCCTGCATAAAGTGCTCTTAGCTTCTCTGAACTAGAAAGGAAAGCAAATATAACGTGAGTGAACAAAAGAAGAGATTATAATATCTTGACGAAAATTGTTTTTCACCTACAAATTTAAATGACACCATCATGTACTTTTACTAAGGAGCCGTCAATTTGTCACGGAATACTGTTGTCGTTGATTTTTTTTTCTTTTCTTACTTTCAATTTAAAATTGTTCCTCCCACCCAAATCAACGTAGTAAAAAGATGAAAAAAACTTGGTACATTTACATTTAGACGGTTTCATCATCAAAACATAATCGCACATAATTGTTTGAGTAATCCAGGATGGGTCAGTGCAAAAAATTGTCCAAACGTAACACTCCAAATAATTTGATTTTTTCCTAAAAAGCCCTTTAGTTTAAAAAGATAAAGACAGAGACAAGAACAGAAAAACTTTAAAAAATGTAGCCTTTCTTTAATAATCTAACCTTGTTGATATCCAGTCCTCGTTTTCCTCCTGGAATGATATTGCCCAAGCTTTCACCTTCGGAGGCCAACATCACTAATAGAAACACGACGCAGATGACTTTTCCTACAACGTTACTCTTCATCTTTTTGACTCTTTGGTATCTATTACCGTCTCTCTCCTCTTCTTGTTCACTCTGAGTCGTAGATCTAAGCCCTCTTATTTTATAGGCCTAAGGAGACAAACTATTGCGAAAGATCTCTTAAAAAAGCATTCATAAATGTTAAGAATAAAGCAGATGGCAAGTAAATCTTGGCTTTCACAATTGCCAGTGAAATGCGAGAGCAGTCCTGAATCATCTTTAAGTAAGGAAATAGGAAAAATAAAATTTATTCCTCTTTAATTGGTCGTTATGAATATATATTGACTAGAATGAGTCATGGAAATGCATCTTAATCCCAAAGATCTAGCTTTGGCGAAGACACATTTGCGGGCAGGTGGTCGATCCAGAGAGAGCTTATGCTACTTATCCGTTTGTTTTCACAATGTAAAGATATACGATGCAAAATTTTGAAAGCCTTTAAAGGTTGATCGATTAACTTGAGATGTCTCACATTCAAAGGTAAGTTATCCAATAGGGTTTAGTAAAGAACAAGAGGATCATAATTAGAGTTGATCATAAGTAGAGTTCAAGAGAGTTGCGGTATCAAACTCTTTTTTATTGAAAAGGCGGCCTTTGCCTAGAAACATCTTGTGAATAAATCAAGCGCTAACATCGTTAAAGTTCTTGGTTATTCATCACTGTACTGGTAAATTATAATGATGATAACGAGCCTTGATAGATGGCGGTGAGGTTAGAACGCTTGATAGTTTGACTTTGGCGTAAATCTTCCCATTTTGTAATTTATCTTGGAAGTTTGGAACAAGATAAATTAACTTTAAACATAATTTCCACCCTCTGACGAGGATATCGACGTCACCGCAACAAAGGAAGAAAACAAGGGTTACATCGTGATTGAATGAGAGCACTATTGTATTAACTGTTTATTTTCAAATAAAACTATATGCAGAAAATCTTTCTTAAGCGCTGTTTGTTACTTAGTGCACGTACCTGGGTGTACAGTATGTTCTATGGTGTAAAGCTATAAAAAGACTGCATTTTTTAATCAATACTATTGCTGTCTAGTTTCTCTTTACGAAAGTCAAGTAAAGTTTGAAGTTACTACCACGTAATCGTAGCTTAACGACCACGTTGCACGCGAACACGACAGACACTCGAATGATGATAAAACTATAAGTTTTTCAACCACGGCACTCAATTGAGTGTGGTTTTCAGATCGCATCATTTTCTCAGCAGCCAGAATGATGATAAGGCTCAAATCATAATGGTTTAAAAAAAGAAATTAAAAAAAAAAAAAGAAGTGAAAGAGAAGAAACAGTATTGCTTCCTACACGTGAGCGTCGTCATTTTATTATTATTTTTATTATTCTATTTTTAATAGAGCCTCTTAGCTGCCTTTTTTATCACTTCTGTGATGTGCGCGTTCCAAGATGGGTCAGTTGAAATAGTTACGCCAAAGAGTTTAGCATCAGTAACAACCTTTATGCACTCTCCTCCGATAACTACAGGAGGGAAATCATGACTGTCATCTTCAGTTCTGATTTTACAGAGTACAAAGTTGAATTTAAACTGTATAACAAAATGCTGATTGGACAAAACAAACGACAGTAACAGAACAATGTATGCAATTACAAGGAAAGTTTTAAATTGACATGATAGAGTTGATGATTAAGTATAGGTTGTGTATATTTCTGTCGCTCCAATACCCTAAATAATTCCACCCCCTTTTCTTTCTGTGTTAATTTGAACTGACAAGAATGCAATTGCCAAGCTTCTGAAAAGCTTCTCATAGTAATAGGATACAATTGAATTCAAATTAATTTTAACACGAACGTTATAGTTTGAAACAATACGAGAAAATTGAGGCAAGAATGATAAAAAACGCTGGGGAGAAAGAAACAATATTAAAAGTGAATCGATCAGGTAAATACTTTTGCACGGATCGAATCACTCTGTTTTTTCAGTTTTGCTTTAAGTTCGAGAATAAAAAGCATTTCAAAGATCAAACAGTCCGGTTTACTCAGACATTTCTCCAAAATCTTGAAAATTATTTCTCTGGTCTCAGGATCCTTTACATGCTCGTCCTTTACGTGATTGCCGATTGTTGATCGCTTGTGTTCCTCCACACGTCAATGTAACGGTCGGCTCGTGAAGCCGACATAGTCTGCAACACACAGACAACACTTATAATAATAAACAACGTTTTGTTGATTAACAATTGGAGCTTATTGTTCTTTCGGCTTAAATTGTCCTTTGATCTTCTGACTTGTGTAAACAACTGGACATAGACATCAATCTTTCGGCTGAGATCACCGAGTTGGTGTCTTACCACATTTGCTGATTTCTGGGCTTTGACCAGTAAGACAATTCTGATAAGAGCATCATTTTCAACGGATACTTGTTCTTTAGCACGTACATCCTCGGTGACTTTTATTTCATTAAAACGTCTGATAGTATTCTCTACGAGAGTTTCAGGATAATGCAGGCGAGAAAAACCTTTTTTTCAGAAGTTCACATTCTTGATGGAAAAACATCCAGCTCGAGGAGAGTTTAAAAGTACGTTTTCACCTTGTTTTCATCAGAGAATGTTTGTACTTTTCGTCAACATGGCTTTGGTAATGCAATAAAAGTCCAGTATCAGTTTTTTTCACGTAGACCTCCGTGTCTTTTCTGGGACTATATCTGATAATCATCATTCCAAGAGAGCCGTTTGCCGTTGTTCTCGAGCCCATTGTAAAACTGAGTGAAGGGTGGATTTCATTCAGTGTTGACAAGAAAACGGAGGCAGATGAAACATCGGGCATGTTGCTAAGGGTGTCATCGACCTTCTATGTAAATATTTTTAATTAGAAATTTAGTTAGTATCCTATTGACATTTTTTCTATGGATTATATAAGCACATGATAACAATTTTATCCTTTAAATTGAAAATAACCACTGAGCGGTCGAGACGTCGTCCCTTTTTAACGTTAATTTTTATAGTAAAATACTTAACATGTCATCTTCTTTTGGAGGGCTGAAGAATACCTGGATGATTCAGTTTAAAAGATAAAAAAATTGTCAATTTAGATGCAAATTTTTTAGTTAATTCAAGTTCCAATCGAGCTTTTACACATTATTTATCAACTATTAGATTCTACACATTGAATGCTTGTTTTTCGTTCTTCAACATTTGACAACTTTAAGATTAAATGATCGGTGGATAAAGGAATATTTGTCAAGTTTGAAGAAAAACTACGCAGCGCATTCTTTTTATTTGCAACGAATACCCTGGAAGCCAATAAATATCATAAATAGATCATTTGCTACCTTGGCAAAAAATAAAAAACTATTGAAATGATTAATATTGTGTATAAAGATACATGTCAACAAATTGTATCTCAACATTACAGCACCTTTCTCTTTCAGAAAAGTTTCTATTGCTTTGAAACCGGTATTAATCTTTTTTTTTGTCTATGAATACAAATTTATCGTGTATTTTGCACGAAGTTATTTGAGAATTCAGCTCTTCGAATTATTAATTTTCTATCTACTGCCTCCAAAACCACTTACCTTTGCCATGAGGGTACTTCTACTTAATTCACATGCTTCTATTTGATTTAATTAACTCCTTAAATCCATTTAAAATTTCCTAAGGACAATTCTCAGGAGAACATCTAGAGCTACGGCTGAACACGTTATACGATGGTGTCGAAACTCTTGTTTTATTCATTGGCCACGCTCGAAGTGGTCATAGTCTCATCGAGGCAATTTTGGATGCTCACCTACAGATTATCAATAACAACGAAAAGTTATATAAGTGCATGATAAAAATTTTATCCTTCAAATTGAAAATAACCTCTGAGCGGTTCAGATGTAGTCCCTTTTTAACGTTAATTTTTATAATAAAATACTTAACATGTCATCGTTTTTTGGAGGAATGAAGAATACCTGGATGATTCAGTTTAAAAGAAAAAAAATTGTCAATTTAGATGCAAATTTTAGTTCATTCAAGTTCCAATCGAGCTTTTATACATTATTTATCATTTATTGGATTATACATATCGAATGTTTGTCTTTCGTTGACGGGAATATTTCTGATGACTTTTGTTTTTCTCTTACGACGTTTTCGATGATCACAGTTGACACACTTTAACATTCACAGAATATCATCAGGAGCCAAACTCAAATAAAGTGTATAGCGCATGAACAAACAATAACACGCAGGCAGTTATTTGATGGTCACCTAGTGGGCTCTAGACCGATGAAAAACAAAGAGCTAATGCACTCAAGGAGTCTTCATGAAGGACGATAAATAATGGGTTATAAAGAAGGCTTAATTGGGATGCAACTCAATGCCTGTCTCCTCCACCAAACCCATCAAATGTGCGAATATTTGGTAAATTATAATTAATCATAAATGATAGCTTATTACGATTCAGTGGAAGGTTTCTTACACACCAACAATCGCTAGCATAGAAAAAATTCAGTGACGACGAGGTCTCTTTATGTAGACATACCACACGAGCTATGGCGAGAACATTGAATTGTCCTATAAGTCAAATAAAATGATATTCTAAAACGTTTGCACCTTTATAGAAACTGTTTGATAAGATTTCAGTATAAGATGGTTTATTCACTTTTGTTCCTAGCCGCTCAAGAGGTATGATTTTAGTGTCTTTACTTTGCAGTTTTGAACCCAATCATTTCTCATTTGAATTTGCTATGTAATATTAACTTTTGAGTTTCAACCTCTAACGTTCATGTTAAAGTTAATCTTTATTCAATATTATCTTACTACTATGGGAAGCTTTTCTGAAGCTTGGCAATAATATGTTCATACTATCTCTTAAACATTTGACAACTTTAAGATTAAGTGATACCCCTACGGGAGGTGCAGTGGATAAAGGAATATTTGTCAAGTTTGAAGAAAAACTACGCAGCACATTTTTTTTATTTGCAACGAATACCCTGGCAGCAAATATATATTATCATAAATAGATCATAAAGTAAAATTCTAAATATTATGATTTCGATCGACTGATGGCTACTAGTAAGTGAATGAAAACCTATTGAAATGATTAATATTGTGTATAAAGATATATGTCAACAAACTTTATCTCAACATTACAGCACACTTCTTCTCAAAAAGTTTCTATTGCATTGAAGCCAGTGTTAATCTTCAAAATTTTGTATCTGCTTTTCTTTACTTTTGTAGGTAGGTGATGAATCTAACGGATTTCTAAAAGAATGAAATATTTTCGTGTTTACGTTGTAATTGCCTCGCTGCTTCTCCTCGTAACAGCTTTGTTATTCTGCATCAATCTGTATCCTCGTCCATCCCTCGATGTTTTTCCCAACGTCCTTCCTCAGCCTAATGGTAGGTAAACTCCTATGGTGAATCTTTGTATACTATTAGAATTTTTAGGGAGGTTTCTTTAACGAAACTTACTAGATTATGCGGCATTGCCGTTTATCTATAGCTTCAGTTTTTTTAAAATATATTTTGAAAATTAATATTTATTTAACTATTTGTATCCAATGATTTCAGAGAATCTAAAGATAAGGCTCAACTCCAAAGCAAAACCTGTAAGAAACACCTTCATTTAAGGCATTAATTTTAACTATTCTGTAAACACTCCATGACAACTGAGCTATAAGTGAGAGCGGGATTGACACAAGTTGAATCTTGAAATCACTCCATTCTCGCCAAGAGGTAATGAAAGGCTTAGTTCATGAATAGTCTTGGGTTTTTACACGAAGGACTACTGCACAGGCTCGAAAAGTTATATACATGTGAAAAGACCTTGGTTTGATTGTACTTAAATGAAATTCGTTTATATTGAATGTGCTTTGTCATGTTGTTCGCGTTTTAATAACAGATTACTAACCTCTAAATGAAGAATATCTTTGTTACTGCTTTTCACTGTATTTTGTCTATGAATACAATTTTATCTTGAATTTTACACAAAAGTTTTTTGAGAATTCAGCTCTTCGAATTCTTAATTTTCTATCTATTGCCTTGAAAACTACTTACCTTTGCCATGAGCGTACTTCTACTTAATTCACATGCCTCTATTTGATTTAATTAACTCCTTAAATCTATTTAAAATTTTACTTGGACAATTCTCTTGAGGACATCTAGAGCTACGGCTCAACACGTTATACGATGGTGTCGAAACTTTTGTTTTATTTATGGGCCACGCTTGAAGTGGTCTTAGTCTCATCGGGGCAATTTTGGATGCTCACCTAGAGATTATCAATAAAAACGAAAAGTTATTATCATAAGAATACTCAACTTTCGAATCGACAAATTTTTAGAAACGGATTTTAGATCAATAATCGGCAATCACGTAAAGAACGAGCATGGAAAGGATCCAGAGACCATCGGAAGAAATTTCAAGATTTTGAAGAAACGTCAGAGTAAAATGGACTGTTTGATCATTAAAATGTTTTTTATGTGCGTACTCAGACCAAAACTGAACAAACAGAGTCTATGATTCGATCCGTGCAAAAGTATTTACCCAATCGATTCACTTTTTATATTGTTTCTTTCGCCTTAAAACGTTTTTTGTCATTCTTGCCGCAATATTCTTGTATTGTTTTAATGTAAATATTTCAAAGTTTTAGTCTGTATCTCATTAGTATTTTCACAGTTGATTATATGAGAGCATGAAAAAAATTTTATCATTCAATTTTAAAATGGTCGTTGAGCGGTCGTAACGTCGTTGCTTTTTCACATTAATTTTTATCGTAGAATCCGTTTCTAAAAAAACCAAGGCAAAAAAACCGAATATCGAGAATTATACCAAACCGTTTTTTTATCTTAGTTAAGTGAAAAACCATTTTTGATAGTCTCTACCCTTAATCTTATTTGCTTCCGTGAATTAATCGTCTTTTTTTCGGGACACTCTCTTTGTCTTAATTAAGTCACTGAATCGCCTTTTTTCTTCTTCTTTCAAGGAAAACTGGAGCGTGAGCTGACATTTTTATATCGCAATGTTGAATCTTTTGTGCTCTTCGTTGGACATCCAAGAAGCGGTCATAGTTTGGTGGCTGCCATTTTAGATTCCCATCCAGAAATAATTATTTCGAATGAGTTTAATCTGCTTTATAAGTTTGACAGTTTCTTTAAAAATCCTAGCCAAACAGACGATGAGCGCAAGCTGAGGATATTCTATGACTTACATACTCGCTCGCGCCGACAGGCCATGTTTGGAAGTCGTTCGTCAATTTGCGACAGCTCCGTATCCTACTGCTACAACATTAAAGGTGGCTGGCAAGGTGATTGCAAAAGTAAACTTAAGGTACGAGATATTTGAAAGGGCCCATGTCATGAAAAGAACTGGATTAGGAAGTCCTGACTTCAGTCTCTCTGAGGTTTTCTTTATTTTGGTGTTTATTAGCAAGCTAATTAAGTGTTAATTAAATCTCCAACAAGGATGAAACAGTCTGCTTACTGACCAGCGGCTATTCAGAAAAATCAAAATAGAAATCTATGCTCGCATACTCATAACAGAAAGGTTATCAATGCTTTTAAAAGGAGTCCAACTAATTTTCTAATTAGCAGTCAATTTTTCAGTACCCCTTCAAGCTTTGTTGACGACAATAGATTCCCCTCCATTCCCACTGAAAACCATGTACTACGAGTGATGAAAAAAATCGGCAAACCGCGCAGTTAAGTTCTTTCATTACGAATATGATTACAGACAGAATTGGATGACACATAGTCTGGCTAACAATTAATATAAACTATGACAAAATTTGAGAACGAAACTAAAGATCTGTTATACGTTTTTATCAATAAAAAATAAAAACTAGTAAACACAACAAATAAGAGGTAACGTCGCGCGCACACGATGCGTACTGTCTAAATACACAGGCATGACGTTACCACTCTCTTTTTACACTGTCCAATGACGATCATTTCGTCTACTCTGTCCTATTAGTGCTCAAATGGGGCTGGTGATGACCAATCACTTTCGAAAATTTTGTTGTAATTTTGTTTATACTTATATACCTCCTTTATTAGGGTCTTGTAGTGTTCCTTTACTTCCATCCATTTTTCCTTGGAAGTGAATGATAAATAAGCCTCACGTGATATACGTATTGCAGTAAGCATTACTTTTATTATCATTTCTAGGGGTGCTTTCTAAATTTTGTAAATATGCATTAGTATATGATGTCTGGAACCACAAGTTTAATGGATTCAATTTGATAAAATTGATTATTTACAAATATTGATTAATGGTAGGAAATTAAATCTTTCCTATGTTATCTGCTTAAAGGTATACATTGCATAACGCTAAATCTTATGGGACTTATTTCCTTTGTTTACGAAGCACGAGTAAATTATTGCCCCAAGCAATGGTCGCTTATTCACAATCGCGCGAGTAAAACTGACTTTTACATAAGATTCCACGTATATTTTCCTCAGGTAATTGGAGACAAAAAAGCATCTGTAACTACCGCACGTTTGCATCACGAAAAAGGGCTTCATGATTTGCGAAAACTGGAGAAAGTGGTGGGAATTCCAATCAAACTGATTAACGTCATCAGAAATCCATTTGATAACATTGCCACTATATGTAGAAGGAGACTAGGTGTTAACCCTAGAAGTCATCAAATAGTAAGTAAATATAGGGGTATATCATCTATCGTTTCTCATTGGTTTTTATCAAAGTAAACCTTTTATTTTCTATGGTGATGCTGGATTTTTTTTATGGACTGGAGAGTTTTATCACGACGTAAAACACTGGCAGAATCAATACCATAGCTACATATCCGGGATTAGAGCCTCGTATCTCAATCGCTCGCTGCCCTCCATCGACCTCGACCTCTGGATCGAAAATTATTTCATCAAAGTTCAGACAATTCAATATCTTCATGACTTGAGGCACTATCGGATTCTCAATGTATACAGCCGAGGTCTGAATATTTCGCTTGTGTCATGTAAAACCTTATGTTTTTTTTTCTTGACAGGTACGCAACACAACAGCGTTGGACTTTTGCATCGATGTTTACTTCAACAAAGTGTGGACAGTTCAATATCTGCGTGATCTGAGTCACTACCAGATCCTGAATGTATGCAGCCGAGATTTGCTGAAAAATCCACGACGCACTTTACAAATTTTATGTGACTTTGTCGGTGTTTCTTGTTACAGTGAATTTGTCGAATTAGCTACAAGAGATCTCTATTCCAAGTCATCTCGGTCTAGGTATTTGATAGAATGGAGTAACGAACAGAAAGAGAAAGTCATGAAAGAAATCCAGAAATATAGCTTTTTGAAATCTTTATTTTCGTTTGACAGTGATTAGTGTCACCATTAAACTTTGACGCTTATCTCAGACACGGTCTGAGGTATGTTTGCATCGCTTATTTGGACCTAAGTAATAAATACGAGAAAAATAAAAAAGAGTTTAACAAAACAACTTTAAAACATGTTTAAGTTTTGGTGTGAACGGGATCTAACACTGCCGGACAAAGGTAGCTAACTATAAGTTTTTCAGTTCCGAAATTGGTGATCCTTGCACTATGCAGGACACTCATTGCTTGTGAACTCAATTTGTTGTCTGACTCCACAAGTATGACTTCCATATATATCGAGTTCTCAACGGCTCGTTTCTCAGAATATATTGAAATCCAAACACCTGCAATAAGGATCTTTACGAGGAAATGCTATGCATTAAGTTCGAGCAATTATTCTAAATGAAGCTTATGATCAATTCTATTCGGTGAAAGTCTTCTTCAATGGTGATCTGGACTCCATGGAATATCCAATTCCCCCCCTCTTCCTTCTCCACCCCTCTTGCATCTGCTAATACAACTATTGTAACTAACCCTTATACCTTTACTTCTTCTTTCGATAGCTTAGATAGATTCATCTGCTAATACAACTATTGTAACTAACCCTTATACCTTTACTTCTTCTTTCGATAGCTTAGATAGATTCTTTATTGAAATACATCGTAGCTCGTAGAGCTGAATTACGCATTTTCATTAAAATTCTAATTGAATGTACAAAGTTACAAATTGAATAATACCAAAGAGCTAATGATAGTAATATCCAAAAGATTTAAAAACTATAAAAATCTTGCTGAAATCACATTTTTAAAAGTCTAATAATTTAAACAGTATTCACTAGGATGCTTAAAGCCATAATAAAACTATTCTTAAATCTGTTTGTTTTACAAGGAAGGATCCAATTAGTAATGCTAGGTGGAATAGTAAGCGCGAGCAATTATTCTTTATACGTTCCCTACCACTGTCCAGGTACAGAGTTACCATACTCACCACCGTCACGAGGTGATGCTGCATGGTTTCCAGAAATCGTGACAAGGGGTGCAGGGCAAAAAGGACACAGGACACCCTTATCTTGACAGCTCCAATTGTCTTGACAGCTCCAATTGTCTTGACAGCTCCAATTGTCTACGTCTCGTGTTTCTCCCTACACTTCTTTCGTGCTCTAGCCGCTTCCTGCGTGCTTTATAACAGAACAGAGCACAGCCAAGGCTTCTCTATTTGTTTTATAATAAAGAATCCATTAAATTCCCCGAGCATTACTTTCAATTTTCAAAACAAACTTTATTTCCAAAGCGAACAACAGTGTCGTCAGCATGCTCTATACTCTCATAAAGCACGCTAAAATAAGCCAATCAGAATCCCTGTCAGAATGGTTCAAATAATCTGATTGGCTGTACAAGACTAAAGCTGTCAAAAGTGTCAAACCATCAAAGTTAAAAAACCATCAAAGTTCACCTTCTGCGATAGTTTACAAACTAAAATAGTTCGGTAGGTCGAATTTAACACTTTTGCCTAAAGTTTTTAAGTCTCTAATAGAGAATCTTGAAGTGAAATGTTCAGTGAACTTCAGCCGAATTATGGCTCATAAAAACACGCGAGTTTTACTCCAAGGTAGAAAACAAACTGTTCAGGGCGAGTGTTTTTTGAATGAACGACAGCCGAATTCACCGGAACATGAAGATCGCTCGAGATGACAGCGTCGCAAAACTCGGCTACAATGACAGATGTGACTTTCCACTCAACGCATCGGAAAGGATATCAGAGCAGGCTCTTATTTTTCACTCGAAGGGCGCCATGATAAGATCGCCATGATAAGCGAACCGCGAACAACTTCAGCATGATCATATTCGCTCAGACACCGTCATGATTAGTATGAATTTTAACAATTATGCCAGTTTGGTTATATTTTTCATCATTTCTGTTTTGTTCTGTTTTGTTTTCGAACACTGAACTTTATATACTATATGAGTGTTAGCTGTGTTTGATTTTTATTTCCATACGTAAGCTTGCAATCTAACTGAGCGTGAATCAATCTTTAAAACCTCGAATGTCTATTTTGTTTTTCCTTCGAGGATTTTCGTATCTGCTCACGTTTTAATAACGTAAATTACGGCGCCTGGTATGTTTACAAACCTTTGTTTGATTCTTCTGTTGCTACTTGTCGGCTCGCTTCAGTTCCGAAATTTCACTTTCAATTATCGGAAAAAAGCTAAAAAGAAGTCCCGGAAAAGCTCGAACATAGTACAGTTTGGCAGATGGCGTGACAGCTTTAGCTCAGCTCTATGCTCTATAATCTCATAGAGCACGCTCTTTCAACCAATGACAGTGCGCGTTATATCCGAACTTTAGTATAAACTGGAATAGTTTGCTTAAAAAATCTTCTGACCCCAGCAATATGTTTGACAATTTTTATATTAAGTTATCAGAGGTTGTTGATTTACATTTACCTGTCGAGCAATTATCTAAACAAGATCTCAAAGCTCGATCAAAGCCATGGATTACTTCTGGAATTAGAACCTCCTTTAGAATAAAAAATGGCTTATTCAAGAAATTCCTCAAGAAAAAATCTATCTACTATCATGCAAAATTCAAAATTTACAGGAATAAATTGAATCATTTAATTAAACTAGCTAAGAAAAATTATTATAATAATTTTTTCTCAGTTCATGAAAATAATGGTAAACGAATCTGGTATGGAATTAAACAAATTGCTAAGGTTAAAACCCACGTCAATCAACCTGTCAATACAATAGTGGTAGATGATTGTGAAATAATCGACCAAGAATCAATAGCCGATGCTTTTAATGAATTTTTTGCTAATATAGGTAGTAATCTTGCTAGCTCCATTCCTAGTGCTACTCAAACTGCTAGGGAGTTCATGTCACCTCCTATTTGTGATAGTTTGTTTTTAGCTCCAGTGACTGCAAATGAAATTGAAGTAGAAATAGCCAAACTTAATGCTAGTAAAGCTGTGGGTCCTTTCAGCATTCCTATTGATATTCTTAAGATTCTTATTGAGGGTGAATTATCAGGTCCTTTACAGACTATATTTAATACATCTTTTCTTACTGGAATTGTCCCTGAGAAATTTAAGATGGCTAGAGTGATCCCAATTTTTAAAAAAGGATCTCAGACAAGCTTAAACAATTATAGACCCATTTCTCTACTCTCTGTTTTTAATAAATTGTTACAAAAACTTATGTACAAGCGGATAATTGACAACTTATTTATGGTAAACAGTTTGGATTTCGCTCTCACTACTCAACTGATCATGCAGTTCTTAGTATTATTGACCAAGTGCAATTAGCCATTGAAGACCATGATTATTTTTGTGGAATATTCCTAGACTTTAGCAAAGCTTTTGATACTGTTAATCACCAAATTCTACTCACAAAACTTGACTATTATGGTATCAGAGGTGTTGTTAAGACCTGGTTTATTTCATATTTAAGTAATAGATCTCAGTTTGTTTCTCTTGGTGCTATCACTTCAGACACTCAGACAGTTTCCTGTGGTGTGCCCCAAGGGTCAGGGCTTGGACCACTTTTATTCCTAATCTATGTAAATGATTTTCATAATTGTTCAACGCTTCTGGATTTCCATCTTTTTGCAGATGATGCAAATTTATTCTTTCAGCATAGGGATATAAAGATGCTTGAAAGTTTGATTAATTCTGAACTTGAGAAAGTTCTTACTTGGCTATGTGCAAATAAGCTTTCATTAAATATTGATAAGTCAAACTTTGTTATTTTCCATCCAATTCAAAGAATATTGCCCAAACAGGTCATGTTATCTATAAACAATCAGATTTTGACCCAGGAAACTTCCATTAGATACCTTGGAGTTTACATAGATTACAATATTAGTTGGAAGATGCACATCACTAATATTTCTAAAAAAATCAAGAGAAGTATAGTAATTCTTTCTAAACTAAGTTATTTCTTAAGTACTAAAACACTACTTAGCCTGTACTATCCTCTGGTTGAGCCTTTTCTCAACTACTGCATAATTGCTTGGGGTAATACCTATCAAACAACTTTGCAACCTTTGTTTAAATTACAGAAGAAAGCCTTACGAATAATCACCTTCTCTAGTTATAACGAACATTCGAGTCCTTTACTTAAAGATCTAAGCGTTGTAAAGTTGTTTGACATCATAACCTTTCAACTTGCAGTATTTATGTACAAGTTTCATAATAATCTTTTACCTCCTGTTTTTGATCCTTACTTTAATTCTGTTAGGATGATACATAATTATAATACCAGATTATCTAGTAAAATGTCCTATGCTATTTCAAAAGTCAGAACAAATTATGGAATTTTCAATATAAGATTTCAGAGTTCTAAAGTCTGGAATGATATAAGTGATCACATAAAGCTTCTTCCTTTGAAAAGTTTTAAGAAAAACCTTAAGCGAATCCATATTGAAAAATACTAATAATTTCCGTAGCCTTCCGTCGTTCTTTACTCTGATTTTCACAGCGTTCTTGATCTTATTTGTATGACCTTGAATGTGCATGTCTTTGTGTGTGTATGTTATGTCTGTGTGTGTTTGTGTATGTTATATCTGACCTAAATCATTGTATTAGATAAATTACCTAAGTATAGCTGCCCTTTTCTTCTAGCCCTTATGGTTATTTGGGGTAGCTAGTACTCCTCTACATCTTTTATTGATATATTCTGTTTATTATTATTGTATCATATTTAGGTACGAATAAATTGTTGTTGTTGTTGTTACGATTCAATGGGAGGTTTCTTACACACCCACAATCGCTAGCATAGAAAAGATTCAGTGACGACGAGTTCTCTTTATGTAGACATACCACACGAGCTATGGCGAGAACACTGAATGGTCCTATAAGTCAAATAAAATAATATTCCAAAGCGTTTGCACCTTTTTAGAAACTGTTTGATAAGATTTCAGTACAAAGTGGTTTATTCACTTTTGTTCCTCGACACTCAAGAGGCATGATTTTAGTGTCTTTACTTTGCAGTTTTTAACCCAATCATTTCTTATTTGAATTTGCTATGCAGTATTAACTCTTTAGTTTCAACCTCTAACGTTCATGCTAAACATAATCTTTATTCAATATCATCTTACTATCTATTTAAATATTAAATGATACCCCTAATGGAGGTGCGATGGATAAAGGAATATTTGTCAAGTTTGAAGAAAAACTACGCAGTGCATTTTTTTTAATAGCGACGAATACCCTGGCAGCAAATATATATTATCATAAATAGATCATTTGCCACTTTGGCATGAAAGTAAAATTTTAGATATTATTATTTCGATCGACTGATGACTGCTAGTAAGTGAATGAAAACCTATTGAAATGATTAATATTGTGTATAAAGATATATGTCAACAAACTTTATCTCAACATTACAGCACCCTTCTTCTCAAAAAGTTTCTATTGCATTGAAGCCAGTGTTAATCTTCAAAATTTTGTATCTACTTTTCTTTGCTTCTGTAGGCAGGTGATGAATCTACGGGTTTCTACAAGAATGAACTCTTTTCGTGTTTACGTTGTAATTGCCTCGCTGCTTCTCCTCGTAACAGCTTTGTTATTCTGCACCAATCTGTATCCTCGTCCATCCATCGGTGTTTTTTATAAAGTCGTTCCTCAGCCAGATGGTAAGTAAACTCCTACGGTGTATCTTTGTGAACTATAACAAGTTGTAGGGAGGTTTCTTTAACGAAACTGACTAGATTATGTGGCATTGCGGTTGATCATTAGCTTTCAGTTTATTTAAAAATATATTTGTAAAATTAAGATTTATTTAACTATTGGTATCCAATGATTTCAGAGAATCTAAAGATAAGGCTCAACTCCAAAGCAAAACCTGCAAGAAACACATTCATTTAAGGCATTAATCTTAACTATTCTGTAAACTTTCCATAACAACTGACCTTTATGTGAGAGCAGGATTGACACAAGTTGGATCTTGAAATCACTCCATTCTCGCCAAGAGGTATTGAAAGGCTTAGTTCATGAATAGTCTTGGGTTTTTACACGAAGGACTACTGCAGAGGCTCGAAAAGTTATATACATGTGAAAAGACCTTGATTTGATTGTACCTAAATGAAATTCGTTTATGTTGAATGTTCTTTGTCATGTTGTTCGCGTTTTAATAACAGATTCCTAACCTCTAAAAGAAGAATGTCTCTGTTATTACTGTTCACGGTATTTTGTCTATGAATACAATTTTATCTTGTATTTTGCACGAAGTTTTTTGAAAATTCAGCTCTTCGATTTCTTAATTTTCCATCTATTGTCTTGAAAACTACTTACCTTTGCCATAAGGGTACTTCTACTGAATTAACATGCTTCTATTTGATTTAATAACTCCTTAAATCCATTTGAAATTTTCCGAGAACAATTCTCTGGAGGACATCTAAAGCTACGGCTCAACACGTTATACGATGGTGTCGAAACTTTTGTTTTATTCATTGGCCACGCTCGAAGTGGTCATATTCTCATCTGTGCCATTTTGGATGCTTACACAGAGATTATCAATAACAACGAAAAGTTATTATCATAGGAATGCTCAACTTTCGAATCGACAAATTTTTAGGAACGGATTTTAGATCAATAATCGGCACTCACGTAAAGGATGAGCATGGAAAGGATCCTGAGACCATTGGAAGAAATTTCAAGATTTAGGAGAAATGTCAGAGTGAAATGGACTGTTTGATCATTAAAATGTTTTTTATGCGCGTACTCAGACCAATACTGAACAAACAGAGTCTTTGATTAGATCCGTGCAAAAGTATTTACCCAATCGATTCACTTTTTTTGTTTCTTTCGACTTAAAACGTTTTTTGTCATTCTTGCCGCAATATTCTCGTATTGTTTTAATGTAAATATTTCAAAGTTTTAGTCTGTATCTCATTAGTATTTTCACAGTTGATTATATGAGAGCATGAAAAAAATTTTATCATTAAATTTGAAAATGGCCGTTGAGCGGTCGTAACGTCGTTGCTTTTTCACATTAATTTTTATCGTAGAATCTGTTTCTAAAAAGTTGTTGATTCGAAAGTAAAGTATTTCCATGAAAACAACTTTTCGTCGTTATTGTTTGTATCAAGCTGTCTGCATATACTCGTTAGTTCTTAGAGATAAATACTTAAACTTGAATAATCATAATCAATTATTTCAAACTACAAAGGCAGAGTCAGTGTTTGGATATTTCCTGTGTAAGCCAATCATCGATTGCTTAGCAGCTTCTTAACTTAATAGGCAAGCATTTCACCGAAGAAGCATTTAACGTGTGTAGATTATGTAAAGACCGGCTATAAATGATTGATTTGTACCTGTCTACACAATTATCCCTGATGTCAAATCGTACGAATTTCAGCGGCCCCAGGGGGTGGAAAAGGCTCAAATTTTGGTCCCGTTTGTAATGGTAGTAGTAGTTCTTTTGTGCGGCAATTGGCCTCGTGTTTCACCCAAGTTTGAGCGAAAGACCCGTAGTCACAATCTAGGTGCAAATTTTAAAAAAGAATACATGGGAAGGTAAATCCTGAGTAGAAAAGCATTCACCAGTGCACAGTTAATGACGGATGAAGAGGAAGAACGATGGAAAAAACCAAGGCAAAAAAACAGAATATCGAGAATTATACCAACACCGAGTGTTTTTTTTCCTTAGTTAAGCGAAAAACCTTTTTGATAGTCTCTTCCCTTAATCTTATTTACTTCCGTGAATTAATCGTCTTTTTTTCAGGACAATCTCTTTGTCTTAATTAAGTCACTGAATCGCCTTTTTTCTTCTTCTTCTTTCAAGGAGAACTGGAGCGTGAGCTGAAATTTTTATATCGCAATGTTGAATCTTTTGTGCTCTTCGTTGGACATCCAAGAAGCGGTCATAGTTTGGTGGCTGCCATTTTAGATTCCCATTCAGAAATAATCATTTCGGATGAGTTTAATCTGCTTTATAAGTTTGACAGTTTCTTTAAAAATCCTAGCCAAACAGACGATGAGCGCAAGCTGAGGATATTCTATGACTTACATACTCGCTCGCGCCGACAGGCCATGTTTGGTAGTCGTTCGTCAATTTGCGACAGCTCCGTATCCTACTGCTACAACATTAAAGGAGGCTGGCAAGGTTCTTGCAAAAGTAAACTTAAGGTACGAGATATTTGAAAGGGCCCATGTCATGAAAAGAACTGGATTAGGAAGTCCTGACTTCAGTCTCTCTGGGGTTTTCTTTATTTTGGTGTTTGTTTGGTGTGTGCAAGCTAAATAAGTCTTAATTAAATCTCCAACAGGGATGAAACAGTCTGCTTACTGACCAGCGGCTATTCAGAAAAATCAAAATAGAAATCTATGCTCGCATACTCGTAACAGAAAGGATATCAATGCTTTTAAAAGGAGTCCAACTTATTTTCTAATTAGCAGTCAATTTTTCAGTACCCCCTTAAGCTTTGTTGACGACAACAGATCCCTCTCCATTCCCCCTGAAAACCATGTACTACGAGTGATGAAAAAAATAGGACAACCGCGCAGTTGGGTTCTTTCATTACGAATATGACTACAGACAGAATTGGATGACACATAGTCCGGTTAACAATTACTATAAACTATGACAAAATTTGAGAACGAAACTAAAAATCTGTTATACGTTTACATCAATAAAAAATACAAACTAGTTAACACGGCGAATAAGTGGCAAAGGCGCGCGCACTCGATGTGTACTGTCTAAATACACAGGCATGACGTTTCCACTCTCTTTTTACACTGTCCAATGACGAGCATTTCGTGTATACTGTCTTATTAGTGCTCAAATAGGGCTGGTGATGGCCAATCACTTTCGAAAATTTTGTTGTAATTTTGTTTATACTTATATACCTCCTTTATTAGGGTCTTGTAGTGTTCCTTTACTTCCATTCGATTCATTTTCCTTGGAAGTGAATGATAAATAAGCCTCACGTGATATACGTATTGCAGTAAGCATTACTTTTATTATCATTTCCAAGGGTCGCTTTCTAAATTTTGTAAATATGCATTAGTATATGATGTCTGGAACCACAAGTTTAATGGATTCAATTTGATAAAATTGATTATTTACAAATATTGACTAATGGTAAGAAATTAAAGCTTTCCTATGTGATCTACTTAAAGGTATACATTGCATAACGCTTAATCTTATGGGGACCTATTTCCTTTGTTTACGAAGCACGAGTAAATTATTGCCCCAAGCAATGGTCGCTTATTCACAATCGCGCGAGTAAACCTGACTTTAATATAAGATTCCACGTATATTTTCCTCAGGTAATTGGAGACAAAAAAGCATCTGAAACTACCGCACTTTTGCATCACGAAAAAGGGCTTCACGATTTGCGAAAACTGGAGAAAGTGGTGGGAATTCCAATCAAACTGATTAACGTCATCAGAAATCCATTTGATAACATTGCTACTATATGTAGAATGAGACTACGTGTGAACCCTAGAAGTCATCAAATAGTAAGTAAATATAGGGGTATATCATCTATCGTTTCTCATTGATTCTTATCAAAGTAAACCTTTTATTCTCCATGGTGATACTTAATTTTTTTTTTATGGACTGGAGAGTTTTATCACGACGTGAGATATTGTACTTGTCACTTGTACATAACATGTACATCTTCTTGTCCCCGTGCAATAACCACTATGTATCGTTCAATGTTATCTTTGTCATATTGTTATCGTTATTTCTTGCACTATATATGTATATATATATCGATCCCCATAAACTGTTTTAATAAAATAGTAGCAAGTTTTCGTTGAGTCGCAATCCAAAACCTTATGATTTTCTAACTAGGTACGGAATGCACCCAACCTCGACTTCTGGATCGAAAACTATTTTATCAAAGTACAGACGATTCAATATCTTCATGACCTGAGGCACTATCGGATTCTCAATGTATACAGCCGAGATCTGAATACTTCGCTTGTGTCATGTAAAACCTTGTTTTTTTACTTTCTTGACAGGTACGCAACACAACAGCGCTGGATTTTTGCATCAATTCGTACTTCAAGAAAGTACGGACAGTTCAATATCTGCGTGACCTGAGTCACTACCAGATCCTGAATGTATACAACCGAGATTTGATAGCGAATCCACGACGCACTTTACAAATGTTATGTGACTTTGTTGGTGTTTCTTGTTACAGTGAATTTGTCGAATTAGCTACAAGAGATCTCTATTCCAAATCATCTCGGACTAGGTATCTGGTAGAGTGGAGTAACAAACAGAAAGAGAAAGTCATGAAAGAAATCCAGAAATATAGCTCTTTGAAGTCTTTATTTTCGTTTGACAGTGATTAGTGTTATCATCAGACTTTGACGCTCAGACACGGTCTCAGGTATGTTTGCATCGCTCATTTGAATCTAAGACGAAATATTTTGAGTATTTCTCTCTTCAATACAGAGTATGAACGCTTTAAGTTTCATCAGTAGTCACCTTTTGAAGGAAACTTTACAATTCTTAATAATCACGATTAAAAAAAACGTTCCAGAAACGAGAACTTGTTTATCTCGTTCATAATTCTCGCCTTCTGTTTTGAAGTCCACGCGACGGCATGTCTCGTCAACGACGGCTTAACGCACAGTAGTTTTGAGGCAGATTCGACAAAGTCTGAATGACAAGTTACATGTCAGGTGTACAGACAAAATTGCCATTTTTTCGTGTCCTTTTCAAAAGAGGAAAGGTTAAAGGCCTTGAAATACATATAAACTGTATATGACAGATAGTCTCACCCCTTCAAAGGTGCAATAATCTTTAGAAAGCAGATACAAGAAGTCTAAATCACACTCACCCCAGCAAAACATGATTAGTTTCACAGAATGTTCCATAGAATTCAAGTCATCGTTAACTTTGGAAGTCAACAAACGTCGCTTTAAGCAGCCTATATGAATAAGAAAAAAAAACAGTGTTAACAAAACAGCTTTAATACATGTTTAAGTTTTGTTGTGAATGGGATCTAAGACTACCGGACAAAGCTAACTAACTATGAGTTTTTCGAAAGTTTCAAGAAACTTACTTTAAATGTGCTGTTTTCAGCGATGTCTTTGACCTCGAGGTTTCTCCGCAGTTTGGTGGCAATATAATGTTCTGGTCACGTGAATGAATTTAAGTTTAAGGGTAAGAGTTCTCCTTATATCCTTCAGAATATCAAAATGTTTTGGATTTTCTAACAAACGGCTTTTTGCTGGTCCCTTTTTGTCTCCAATGACCTTGCAATAAAATGAAGTTTGAAAGTTACGCACAGGCTCTGCTTTGCTCAACCATAAGGCAAACTAAGTGGATGTATTTTCCTATATATGATCTTTTTCGCTGAACAATGAAAATCTGTTGCAGTTAACCGCGTTACAAATCTGGAACAGTGAGATAGTGTAAGTCGAAATATTTAATTACTGCATACATTCTACATTGACCAAAGAGGCTTGAGCACTAATAGTAAAAAAATGCAAATAAAGTTAGGCGCTGAAAAAATGAAAATAATCATGATACACGTTTGGATGCTTAGTATCCGCTTAGTATTCATTCCGTAATTCAAGTTTATTGATGGTGTTTCAGTTCTTTCCACCAGTTCACAAATATTGGTTCCGAAATCGCTGATCCTTGCCCCATACAGGACACCCAATGCTTGTGAACTTCATTTGTTGTCTGACTCCAAAGATATGACTCCTTTTTGAGTTGTCAGCAATTATTCCTAAGGTAGCTTTAAATCAATTCTGTTCGGTGAAATTCTTCTTCGATGGTCATCTGGAATCAATGGAATATCCAATGCCCCCCCCCCCCTCCCCCCCTTCTCCACCCCTCTCGCATTTGCTAACACACCTATTGTTACTAAACCAATTCTATACCTTTACTCTTTCTTCATACGTTCCCTACCACTGTCCTGGTACAGAGTAACTATACCCACCACCGCTACGGCGTGATGCTGCACGGTTTCCAAACATCGCTTGAAATCGTGACAAGGCGTGCAGGGCAAAAAGGACACGGGTCTTTAGCCCACTGCTGCTTTTCAGTTTGAAATTACTCCATTCTCCTATCAATTTATATTCGTGTATAATCTCTGTCTGAGCATCCAAAATGGCCCTAATGAGACTATGACCACTGCGGGCGTGACCGATGAATAAAACCAAAGTTTCGACACCATCGTATAACGTGTTGAGCCGTAGCTCTAGATGTCCTCCAGAGAATTGTCCATGAGAAATTTTAAATGAATTTAAGTAGTTAATTCAGTCAAATAGAAGCATGTGAATTGAGTAGAAGTACCCTCATGTACCCTTTGTCAAAGGTAAGTAGTTTTCAAGGCAGTAGATAACTTAGAATTCGAAGAGCTGAATTTTCAAATAACTTCGCTCAAAATACAAGATAAAATTGTATTCATAGACAGAATATCGCGAAAAGGAAAGCAATAACAGAGACATTCTTCATTTAGAGGTTAGGAATCTATCATTAAAACGCGAACAACTTGACAAAGCACATTCAATATAAATGAATTGCATTTAAGTACAATCAAATCAAGGTCTTTTCACATGTATATAACTTTTCGAGCCTGTGCAGTCCACCTTCGTGTAAAAACCCAAGACTATTTACAAACTGAGACTTAAAACCTCTTGGTGAGAATGGAATGATTTCAAGATTCAACTTGTGTCAGTTCCGCTCTCTCTCACTTAAAGCTTTAACAACTAGGCCGTGTCGTGGAGTGTTTTGGGGATAGTAACGATGTCTGCTTTAAACGAAGTTGTTTCTTACAGGTTTTGCATTGGAGTTGAGCCTTATCTTTAGATCCTCTGAAATCATTGGATACCATTAGTTGAACAAGTTTTAAATTTTTAAAAATATATTTTTAAGAAACTTAAAGCTGAGGATGACCTGAGACCTTCACGGGCCTGTTGACTAATCATTTTAGCGTTATACCTTATCCTTATAAACTGGGTCTCATTCGCACTCTTCTTGATAGAGCCTACAAGATCAACAACACATGGTTGGGATTCAACGAGGATAACAGGAAACTTACTGAAATCCTTTAAAAGTATCTTTTTCCAGCCCATCTGCTTGAAAGGGTTGTCAATCGGTACCTTACGCTGACCTGTAATGAGCACAATCTTCCGGTCTCCGTTTTAGACACTGCGCTCACCTTTTATTACGCTGAACAATGAAAAGCTGTTGCAGTTAACCGCGTTACAAATCTGGAACAGTGACGTAATGTAATGTAATGTCGAAATATTTAATTTGTCTCCGTTTCAGACACTGCACTCACCTTTTATTTCAAATTACTGACTTTGGCCCTCTTTCTGTTGTCACGCAAAAAGAGGGTTCGCCACTCTGCTAAGCGTTATTTTAACAAGATAGGTATTAAGTTGGTTTTTTCATCTTTTAAAATAGGTTATAAGTTAGGTGTGAAAGACCCTATCCCTCGTGGGCTCCCTACGTGTCTGGTTTACAAGGTTTTATGTGCGGGCGGTGATGCCTGCTATGTCGGCGAAACCTCCCGCCATTTATCCACACGTATGCGAGAGCACTTGGTCAGTGATAGGACCTCTCACATTTTCAAACATTTACATAATTCTCCACAATGTCGCACTCTATGTTCTGATGAGTGTTCTTGTGGCATCTTTGGTCACGCATCCACAACTGTCCAACTTAAAATCAAAGAAGCTATCCACATGCAATGGGGGCAACCTACACTTAATCATCAACTCTATCATGTTAATTTAAAACTTTCCTTGTAATTGCATACATTGTTCTGTTCCGCATTGAAGATTATGTATGATTAACAGAGACGACCTTTACAAATCATCTTTAGAGTTGCTTATAGTGTGTGCACGTCTTACTCTTTCACTTTTAAGATAAAAAATGCGGAATGTCTCACCAAGTTTCAAAAGTCGTAATTTTAAATCATTGGTCTTGCCATCTACGCACTTCTTTGCAACACGATGACCCGTTTTGATGGTACGACGGTAATTGAATCGATTAACTTCTCCTTGTTTGAATTTCATTTCCTCGAAGTACACATATCAAATTAATGTTAAAAACGTGCTTGCCTTTCTTTTCTTCACAACAAGTGACATATTTCATGTTAGTGGCAATATTGTATCGAGAAGGCAAGTACATTCTAATAGGCATATTAACAAAGCTGAAAAAGCACCAAAGCAGCCTTCTTTTTGGGAAGGAAGACTTGTGACCATTCAGAGTATTCCTTCATTAATTCACTATTACTCTCATTATTATGATTAACCCTATTTCTTTTTTACGAGCTACACCGTTCAAATCCATCGACACTTGATGCCAGAATTTACGACAAAGTCAGGATTTTTTTTGTTGTTCATTGGATACAACAGAAGCAGGCACACCCTACTTGCTGCTTTGTTAGATGCTCATCCACATGTTGTTGTTGCCAATGACTTGAACATCTTAAAGCAGTGGATTACCATGCCTGAAATATTTGACTTGAAGAAGTATTTTATCTACGAGCCGATTTAAGCCAAATCACGCAATGATGTGACGTACGGCGTTCGCGCTCGGTTGGTAAACGGGGGCCCAGTACAATATCATTACAACGTGAAGGGTCAGTGGCAAGGACAGATCAATGAGGGTGTACAGGTATAGTTTTCATTTACCTTTATGACATAACTTGGACACAACGTGCGCTCTATTTGGTCAAAAATCTATTGGATATTTAACTGTGTATCCACAGAAAACTGAAACATCTTCCCTTCCGGTAAAATGGCACCACACGGGGTAATTTCCAGATTTTAATTCGGTGAAGGCCTTTGGTTGGAGGAAACGAGGAGGACGCTTTGAACGCCAATCAAAACAATGTTATTTTTCAAACACTACAGATTGCTCCCTTTTAAGCCTTAATTTTTCTCGACTAGAATTACCCAAACTACTGAGAATTAGTAATTTCTTGCTTCAAGAAAATTGTCACTGGTCTAGAGCTCAGTGGGTGACCAGCAAATAACCGTTCGCATGTTATGGTCTGTTTGTGCGCGATACAGTTCACCTGAGTTTGGCTCTCAAGGATGGTTTGCATATGTGATTTATGACAACTTTGATTATTTAAAACGACGTAAAAGAAAAAAGCCATTAACAAAATTCCCATCAAAGAAAGACAAGATTGATGAAGAGTGTCTTCTAACCACATCCTGATTAGTCACTCTCTTGCAGATCATTTATTTGTAGTTTTGGAAAAATTGTTCGGCCACCAGCTTATAGCAAACTCGTAGATAGTCGTTCATCACTCTTGAACTGAAGATTTTGCAAATTTCAAAAGTTCAATCAGTTTTGTGCAGTTCATTACAGGGGCATATCATCTTGCCTTGATAAATATGTGTTGATTTTGGACAAGCTTCCAGG